GACAATTTTCTAGGGGAGTTAGGGCACATCTTCTGCATTAAGGCAGTTTCGGACATAATAACTCAGGCCAGAAAATGTCGTCGCACGCCACTGGGTCTCTTCCTTATTATAAACTGTTTCTTCGCGCGCTTTTGAGCAGTTCATATTAGGGAAGAGCCACTAGCCGCGTACGACGATATTTTCAGGCAAGAGTTCCAATGCAGTTTGAATCCCGAAAATGTGCCCTAAGTGGCAACATTTGTTTGTCGCAACGTTTACGTGACCACCTGTTATATATAACGTTTTAAAACTTATAGATTTAGACAAAAACTAGACAAAAAAAATGAAACTTTTAAGAAAATCTGCAGTATTAGAAGCAATACAAATTTCAGATTTGAAATTCTCATACATAAATCAAGCAAAATCAAGTAATTGTATAAATGTGACAAAAAAATATTTTCCAGTGTAATTTTAAAAAAAATTACATCGAAAGAATATTGACGATTTTAAAAAAATTGTTTAGATTATTAAACAAAATTAAAAAACTCCGTTTAGTAAAAATGAAGTAGGCTATAAAGTTTCTTAAATTTATGTTAACAGGAAAAATTTGTATTTTGTTTGTTCTTATTTTTGCTTTTTGTTTTTATTTGAACCATAAATTGTATTTTTGCTTAAAATATGCTAGAGAATTAAGATATCCAAGTCTACTATAACGTCTTTAGTTTGGATATGATCAAGTATATTACTATGTATTTAAAATGAAGTAAGGAGGTATACAGAAATGTATCCAAAAAGTATGTATAAATTATACCCGTATTAGTTTTGAATAAAAAATATATATAGCAACTTTCTTTTTAAAGCAGGTGTTTATACATTTCTGTAATAAAAGAAACTTCCAGGTGGTAATAGCAAAAATATTCATATTTGACATTATCGATTGAATTATACCCAATTATACTTTTTTTTAGCATTTTTTTTGTTTTCTTTATTTTTTCAGAATAAAAAAAGTTCGAGATTCAGTATTGAATTCCTTTTTTGATCATATTTGTTTTTGTCCATGGTTTTTTTGCCTTAAGTTAAATATGTTATTTTGAGTAAGAAGTGTTTTCCCTATATATCGAATATCTATGTAAGAATTTAGAAAAATATGCATCGGTTTATTTTCTCGTTAAACTTTTTATGAGTTCACTTCAGAAAAACTCAGGTAACTTTTGAAATAAATATTAATAATTTTAGTCTTTCTCTTATTCTTCTTTTACAGTAAATAAGGAAAAAGTACTCCTGACTAATAACAGAAAGGGGTCGCGATAGCTTTCTTCTCATTCACTATAATCTAATGAATGGTTATTATCAAACACAGTTCTTTCTAAACCATCAATACTGTATGACGGGATGGTACCGAGGTTAGTGTGTTAACTTGTGGAGCACGTTGCTCAGTTTCAAATCTTAGTAAGGACTGCGTTGCACTAAAGACAGTTTTATTTTCTCAGTTATATTGAATCCGCAGGAAAAGTACTGACATCTTGATTTCCGGTATTTTATACCGTAATATTAAAAATTATCTTGATAGAACTACAAATTGAGTAAAAAAAAATCGAGTTCGAATGCCAGCTTTAAAGAATTATTACTGTATTGTATTTAATAACCTGCATTGCACAACCGACCCGATTCTGAGTTTACGACTAAAATATTTATCTCCATAGACTTGTAATTTTAAATTGAATTCAGGAGACAAGGGAACTCCGCAATCAAGCAACGAGAGAAACTAGCGTTCATGAGGATTTTTTTGATGGAACTAACCCGTATTTGCGTTACATGGAGAGGAAAACCACAAAAACCTCCCACGGTTAGGCTGACGGTTATGGGAATCTAACCCATGATCCGTCAACCACTGAGAATATTTTACTTCAGCAGTGTGATCAGTGCGAGCCGAGTGCGGACTTCTTATCTACCAGCCATCACTGGGATTCGAACCCGGTTTACCTCATTGGTAGGCGAGCACTCTATTCCTTGAGTCACCAATACTCCAAGATTACCTTTTACTTAACTTTAATATACCAATAGAGGTGAAACTGAATTCGCCATGATGAAAAAAGTTCCGACCGTGATATAGATTCTTAGCAGTCAATTCATTCACATTCAAATGATTTCCTTGTACTAGAATTTTGTGCTTTTCTTTTCATTTTTCATTGTAAGCATATTATTATAGATGTTAGCGAGACATTGTTACTAATTATGAAAAAATTTAAAATTTATAAGGCATGAATAATGACAGCGATTTGTTACTTTCTGTCCGATGCTATTGCTATGTTAGGTTAAAGTTATTTGTCAAATGACTGTTATATTAGCTTAATATTTGGAATTTCTTTTTGAATCAATTCTAGATTTTTCTCTTCGCTTCTATTTTACAGGTTAGTGATAAACGTTTCAACGACTCAATTTTTTTAGTTTGGACATCAAAAACTGAGCAGCGAAATTTGACTTTCATCCGACGTATATCTCTCGAACTCGGACTCTACACCCTTGTGCAAATTAATTGAAACAAACTTTTTTTTCCGTGCTTTTTATAGAAGATTTTTGGGGTTGTTTCGGTTACAATGGGGTTGGACCTTTGCAGCCTATTGACGGTATGATGCGTTCTGAGCAGTACATTACTATTCTGGGTAAAAAAGTTGTTCCAGAGTTGAAGAAACAATACCCTGATGGAACAGGGATTTTTCAACAGGATTTAGCTCCTTGCCATACGTCCAAAATTGTCAAGAAATTCATGTCTGAGAATCAAATTGAGACATTGGAATGGCCAGGGAACTCTCCGGATATCAACCCAATTGAGAATCTCTGGGCCATATGCAAGAATCGCCTATTAAATATGGACTGCACAACTATGGAGAAGCTAATCACGGCGTTAATTCATGTGTTGTACAAGGACACAAATATTATAAATGATTGTAAAAAATTAGTGGAATCCATGCCGAATCGTGTCCAAATGTTAATAAAGTGTCGTGGAGATCATATTATGTACTAAAAATTTTGGAGTTTGTATAGATTTAAATAAAATAGCATTTTCTCTTAGTTTTCTGAATTTATTGAGTTTGTTTCAATTAATTTGCACAAGGGTGTAAGTATTGTAAATCGGGTTTCGACTCTTCGATTGGGCTCAGACATCAAAAGTGAGTCCAAACTCTTCTCTAATATCGATATCAACACATCAATACTCATACGTATCCATAACGTTTAAAGCCTTCAGAGGTTTAAGAGACAAAGGTTCATTAAGAGGTTATAATTTTATGGATCACAAAATTGAACTTACTTCACTATTCGAAAGTTAAGTCAAAAGATATCCATGTGCATTCAAATGATAAATCTAAAATATAAAAATAATACATACTTAAAATACATGAGTAATATACCGAAAAAAATTATAAAGCATTGTAAATGAACGATAAAATTTGTATTTGAAATGAGTCAATGTTTTGTAACAAATACAGCTTTCGAGTTGCATATGCTATTTTAATCAATAGTTTTCAAAAGAAATGTCGTTTAAAGGGCATAAAAAAATCATATGAATCATAAATAAAGAGGTTAAAAATGAAGGCAATACGATAAACCAGCATCATCATTCTATTTTTATAACCGCTGTTGAACAGCCGTTTTGAGTTTACGACTACCAATGTTCTACTCCGAAGCCTTGTCATTTTGAACCCTAATTTAAAAGACGAGGGAACTCCTGGATCAAGTATTGGGATAAATTTGTTTTCGAGGAGTACTTGATGGAAATAATCCGCACTTGCGTTATATGAAGGAAAACCTCCCTCTGTTAGCTTGACGGGTGGTCGATACGAACCGGGTGCTGAATTCGTAACGACCAGCCATCGCTGGGATTCGCACCAGGTTAATCTCACAGGGATGCGAGAACTCTACCTCCCTGAGCCACCATGTCTCAAGTATCATCATTGGTACAGAATGCAGAATTCTACAAAGATTTTATTTATTTTCTGTGAAAACGCAATTTCTGAAGTTAAAATCTGGTAATTAAATCTGCCATATTATATTCTCAAAAGTTTCATGCTTATTGTTTGCTAAAGAAAATTAGAAAAAAAAATATTATTCGTACTTGGCATCTTTTTATGATTCTTATACTTTTCACAAAAAAAAAAATTCGATTAATATAACTCTAAAGTACACAAAAATTATGACTTTTAATCCCAACTGCAGTATTCTTCTAAGAATATGTTGTTCTCATATTTTAACATTAAAAAAAAACTGAGTAATTATTTTCTCATTTGTTGTATTATATATCACGTAAATCTTATCAGATAATCCCAAAAACAACTGACGCAAAAAGCATATTTGAAAATAGATAAGAGTTTTTGCTGCTTCATCGTTGAAGTGGAAGAGCACCCAAAACAAGATGATCCTCATCACAACAAAAACACATGAACGATGGCAACTTTTTTTAAAACAAAGAATTATTTTGCTTTTTAACATTATTTTTAAGTTTTCATAATTCACACTCGAAACATATCCTCCCCTTTCAAATATTAAGTAATTTTCATATTTTAATGTAAATACATTTAGTTAATATTAATGACACGATATTATAGTTAATACAATATTATTAATATAATAATAAAATTTATAATATTAAAATACTTATTGTTATAATAACATATTTGCCAAATTCCGGATAAGAGATATTCGGATAACCGAGTTATATTTCAAAAATCCTTCTCTCCAATTTAAAAAAAGCACAGACAGTTTCCATTAACCTCTCAGTTCGCAAAACTACTTCATTTTTAAGAAGGTATCTACTTTTTACTCTTTCTATTTACCATTAAGTAACAACATTGAAAAGAAAACCCAATTACATTGTTGTTTTTCATCCTTTAGTCATTTTGGCGATTTTTTTAACCTTCGATTTGCTTTCTAAATGGCTCTAGTAACAACTCCTTAATGACTCCTTTTGTTCGCCATTTGTGTTCGGCGATTAAAATCGCCTGTCAAAAGTGTTAGTGTTTTAATCAAGGGGCAGACTTTTGTTCCACAATGCAAAAGAAAGAAAGAAAAAAGAACAACTTTAAATGAAAGAAAAAGTGAATTAGGATCACTTTCTCTCACTACAAAAAAAAGTCATAATACATTTCAATCTTTAGGCCTTGCCTCAGGCTAGGCTACAATCACAGCGGCGTTCTTTGAGTTTAACTTGCAATTGGGGTAGATGTTCTCTTGCAAATTACAATGCGAATATTAATGACACTCTTTATAATTTTAGGTGTACAGATTAGTTCCATGAGTTTTCTAATATTCTTAAAAGTTTCTTCACCCTCCTTTTGGAATTACGTAGAAAATTGAGAGTAGGAAGAAGAAGAAAAATGTTGGAAACGATGGAATGTTCTTGCTTCTGTGGAACAAATTTTTCACGTTTATCGTTTGCTAATCTGCGACAAGATGAAGTAACGACAAACTAAGGATATCTTGGGGGAAATTTGTGCAACGAAGAAACTACGATGTCATGAACAGATAGTTACGTACTAAGAATACTTTTTTTTTAAAGATTCATAATGATTTAAAAAAAAGTGCTATCTCTTCTGGCGCACAGATTGTATTAGATAATCTCTCAAAGTAAGCATTAAATAAAGATTTGTTGACAGTTTTATATCAAGTTTTTCATTCGAATTAACTATTTGTAGAGACTGATATCGGTTTTAGAATAAAACAAAATATTTTTATATTTTAATTTTTATAAGAAATATTTAAATTATTAATCATTTTTTTTTCTTCCAAATCGGTTGCTTTGACTTAGGTCGTACATACTTTTTGTATTCCTCATAACTTTCGTCTTCTTGATTGGCTAACTAGTTTGTCATGTGACTATTTTATTATTTCTTTTATTGCTCAAATACGAGTTAAGAATCTAATGTATAACCTTTTTAAATACAATCATAATGTATTAATCTTTTTAAATACAAAAGCTAAATTTTGTAATAATGTGAGAAACACCTTAATTGGTACCACATTTGTTACTTAATTAAATGAATGAAAACTTTGTCGCGTGGAGACAGCGAATTAAAACATCACCGCAAGGCTGGATTGTAACATAACTTTTGCTTGCAATTGAGATTTTACTACTATTTCCTTATCACTTGGCAGAGTCATTTCAGTTCTTATAATTAAGGTGTAAATGTATTTTTGGGGTTTTTAACTTATACAATGGCATTTAAGCGATGCTTTGTTATGAGCCTGCATATGTGTGTAACAATAAATAATTAAGCTTCTTGTTTATCCACGGGAAATGCTACCAATGAAATAACTGAATTACTAAAATGTGACCGATCCTGTTTAAATTGTATCATTATTTCGGTCAGAAATCATGCTATTTGTTGAAGCGATAATGACTATTAAAATTAGTAAATAGTACTTTAAGTGCAAATGTTTTTATTTTTCAAGTCCAGAAAAACATCTTATTTTACCCCAGTGATATTTTGTCTCCCAATATTTTTTCGAAGCGAGAGTCTGTCACACGGTATTTTGTCCAAGTAAAGATTCTGCCTCGTGATATTTTGTCCTTTTAAGATTCTGTCTCACGATAATTTATAAGCATAAGATCTTCTTTCACGATATTTTGCGTAAATAAAGTTTTTATCTTAAAATATCTTGCCCAAGCCATATTAAAATTTTTGCATCATGATTTGTAACACGATATTTCTGTCAGATCCTCTATTCTTTTTCTTATGTACTTTTTGATAATATTTTTTTTAATCTTACTTAAAAAGTAAATCAACGAAACGATGTTTTAAAATGATACATAGTACACATATAATTGAATCTTTTTGTGGAATAATCGCGACGTAAGGAAATACATTCTTATGGCACCACCCAATTCCGCAGTTAATCGGTAATTCACTCTATATTATACATTTCAATTCGTCCTGTTCTACATATACTCGGATCAAAATATCATTGATATCGGTGCTTTTACCTATTTGCACAATCAAAGACGGATGCATTCTGCTTTTAGCATAAAAGTTTATGAACGCAGATNCGTTCTTTTTTCATTTCAAAAAAAATAAAAAGGTTTATTTTTAGAACGCAAAAAAAATATATTTGCCCTATTTATAATAAATTCTAGTAAAAAAGAAAATGAAATGTGAAAAAAAGTAAATAAAGATAAGAAATTCGACCTGAATTCCAAGACGCATCTCTTTAAACGTCTACGCTATATTCTCCCTCTATAGATGTATCAAATAAAACAATCACGCGATAACGCTGCTGTTATTAACATCAAACTGAAACCCACGCCAAAAATTGCTTCGAAAAATTCCTGCAAGGGTTAAAAAGATAAAAACAAAATTACCTGCTGATGTTCGAAGGATATTTAATTAGCCGTCATCTATCAATAGAGGCGGTTGACGGTAATTTTCAAGCGGCTGATTTCTGTCGGACATTCAGCAGCAGTAGGCCCACCCCGATGCATTTTCAAGGCTAGTTAATGCCAAAAAAAAATAATTATAAACGGCCTCAGCCAAAACTCTTTACTAAAAAAATTCTGTGTACGTGTTGTAGAGCTCATTATATCGACAAGCGAAAAAATTCATTAAATCGAGGTATTGTTCAAAGAAGAGTAGTGTTTACAAAAGTAATGATTGTTCTGGTTGATGATTATGTCATCAGCTGTCAAAACTGTGAAAGACGTATTTAACAGACAAAAATTCTGTTTATAAAAAATGTTTAAAGAAAATATTGTAAGATCTTAGATTTTTTTTTTTCTGGTGGAAAGGGAGATAAAAGATAATTATTTCAATGGCAATGACCCAATGTCTATGGAATGATAAATAAAATGATAAGGTATGCTCATTTTACAAGTGTTTGACATAGTCTAAAGACTATGACTTGCAACTTTTTTGATTGTAGAAAAAAAAATCCAAAACAAAGTTAAGAACTATGATAAATAGTTATGCAGAAGGAATTTTTAGCCTCACCACAAAAAACTTGGAATAAAAAATTAGTTACAGGGTTGATTACATTTAACTATGCAATGAAATGGTTTGTGTTCTGTTTGGTCTGCCCAATCATTTGAATATTGCTTTCAAGCTTCATTGTTCAAACCAATCTTATTTTACCTCATTTCTTTTTAAGGACAAGATTGACTCATCATTAATTCTCTATTAGCTGGCACAACACGCTTCTGTTATGTATTAATTTTTTATAAACAAAAAAAAAACAAAAAAATCGAGACATCACAAACCAGTAAATTGAATTGTTAAAACTATTTTTATTATATTTTTAATGTTTAATCTGTTGTACAATTGGCTGGTGGCTGGGTCGCGTGTAAACGATTTTCCCCAACAGGCAGTAAATAGCTGA